GAAAATGAAAAATTCTTATGTTACTCAATTCGGGTTGAAAATAGGCGTGCAAAATTGAGTGAACCCAGTAGCAAGAGTTTTTCAATTTTTTGACAAACAGGGGAAACAGGGCCGTAGCTAGAGTCAAATTTAGGATAGGGCATGACAAATTCAACATAGGGCATGCACTACTTGCCCCCCCCCCCCCTTCCCTCCTAAATTTTTTATAGGTAAACAAAATTTTTCAATAAATCAACGTTGTATGGTAATGGTAACTTGATGACGCATCAAGGTATGTATAATGTATGGTAAAGTATGGTAATGGGTAACTTGATGACGCATCTGATCTGGGATAGAGATTTGCATTATGTTGAGGCACCCTAGATGACGTCATAAAGTTACCAGGGCTGGGACTCTGTAGCGAATGGAGATATTTTCTCTATCTCTATTGACGTCCCCTCTCTATTAATTTCGAGAAGAGAGAAGAAGACAGTAAGTGCCATAGCGATAGGGATAACGATCTCTATCCGTTACAGAGTTCCAGCCCAGGCATCCTACCTCTCTCGCCTCTATCAAACAACCTTGCAATAAATAACATCTCCGGCAAGTAAACAAAAGGGCGCGGATTTTCGCGCCGGCCGCCTGGGCCATTCGCACTTTTTCAAAACAAAAAAAACTTCCTCTGTGCAAATGTCAACCATTGTTCAATAGATTTAGGCATTTTCGGAAACATTCATCTTCGCTTACTCGATTTCAGGCCTACCTACTTCAGGCATCATCTACTCTTAAATTTTCTAAAGAAACCTTAATGTATGTTGATTTTTAAAGGTAGGGCATTATCATTTAAAAGATAGGGCATTGCCCCCCAATGCTCCCCCCTGGCTACGGCCCTGAGGGGAAAACGTGCAAATTTTTAATACAACATTTAACTCCTAGAGGAATGTGTAAAATTAAAAAAAAAGCTGTGCAAAATTGCGCAAAATTAGCCGAAACGAGTAGCATAAGAATTTTTCAAGTTTCAAATAAAAGGGGAAAAAAGTGCACATTTATCACACCTCATAACTTTTCCAAGAAGAGTGTGCAAAATTTGAAAATGGGTGTGCAAAATTAGGTGAACCTAGAAGCATTGAGGTTATATTAATTTTCTGAAAAACGGGGGGGGGGGGGGGAGGGGGGGAATGCAAATTATTGATATTATCTATTCACAATCCGATGTCCAAAGATAAGGTAAAATTTATCACCTTTCAGTGCTATTTGATATGGATGGAAAGGTGATTAATTTACCTTTGCCTTGACTACGGATTGTGAATAGGATATACCTTATAACTTTCTCCAGAAGCGTGTGCAAAATTTGAAAATGGGTATGCAAAATTAACCGGAGCGAGTAGCATAATAATAGTTATTTATATATCAAGGGAATTATGCGGGTGTTAATACCCCAGGGCAACGTTTGTATCCCGAGGGCCTCTGGCCCGAGGGACACCAATTGCCCGTGGGTTTTAACACCTGATAATTCTCGTGGTACATAGATAATTTTATATCCTACTGAATTTACTGTATTCTGTCTATTTTTATAAAGGAATAAACCATAAATCAAAATTAGCCGAAGCGAGTAGCATATAGTTATTTTCCTAACAAGTGCGCAAAGTGCTACTTTTTTGCACGCAAACACAGTTATACGAACGACTACGAGTTTCATATCAGGTAGGTAACAACAAAAATTTAAAAAAAAAAAAAAAAACGATAATTTGTTCAATTATTTTCAATTAACTTGAACCGACCATATTCATTCATCGAAAAATTAGATAACAAAAAAAAAAGAACAGAAAATTGAAATCCTCGTCAGAGCTGTTCATCTTAATATGTTTAAATTTGATGCGAAAGAAGCTTGTAGATTCTTGCATGTAAATGGAGAACACAAATCTGACAATGTTTCAAAGGTAATTATTATATTCAGTGTTTGTATAGATGTTGGCTGATATAAGGTCTGTTTCTGAATAAATCACAAACCAGTCAGAGCGAATTTCATTGGTCGAAAACAGTCAGAAACAATCAGAAAACTAGTTTCTACCAATAAAATTCACTCTGACTGGTTTTTGAATTCTGCAGAAACAGAACTATAGAAACAGAGGAAAAATTTGTCATCATGTGTCAAAGTCGACAGGTGCACTTTATTGATGCTTGACAATTATTTTTACTTTTCGGCACTTAGTGCGAATACAGGCCTTATCCGCACTGAGTGCGGAAAAGTGTAACTTTGGTAACGGAAATGCGTGCGGAAAAGTACGTCTTTGCGCACGCTCGTAGGAGATAGTTATTTACCTAACAAATGCGGAAAGTGATACTTTACCGCACGCAACGGCAGTTGACCGGACTACGCGAAGCGGAGTTCGGTCAAGCCGTTAAGGGCGGTAAAGGCACTTTCCGCATGTGTTAGGTACAAAGTTTTACCTATGAGCATCTACTTTTCCGAAAAAAGGTATTAATGAAATTAATTAATGAATCAGATTAATTAATGAAATTCGATTAGATTTAGAAATGATCAAAAATCCATTTTCTGAAAAAGAAAGGATTTTCAATCATAAATACCAAAGTCTACTTTACCGCACACTTTGCAGTCCACTTTACCGCATACTATGCGATAAAGTTACCTTTACCGCAAACTATGCGGTAAAGTAACTTTTTCTACGACTGCTCTAGAAAGCTAATAAAAACGCACTACTAACTTACCTAGAAAATCAATTATTTCGCACAGCGTGCGAAAAGTACTTTTCACACGCTTCGACCGTGCGAAATAGCTATTTACCTAACAAGTGCGGAAAAAAAAAATAATCCGCATACGGCTGCCGTTCACCGAACGACGCGTAGCGGAGTTCGGTGATGCAGCCGAGTGCGGAAAAATATTTTCCGCAAGTGTTAGGTACAATATTTTTCCTACAGGCGAAAAAATTTAAAATTTTTCTTTTTTTTTTTGACTTATCAGTGCGGTAAAACTTTTTCCGCACTGACAGCCGTGCGGAAAAACTTTTTCCGCACTGATATGTCAAAAAAAAAAGTTTTACCGCACTGGGCGGGAAAACTCATTTTCCGCACGCATATCAGTGCGGAAAATCGATTTTTCTGCACGGCTGTAGGAAAAGTACTTTTCACACGTTCCCGAGCGTGCGAAAAGTACTGTTCGCGCGTTAAAATAAAAATGACACTTCCATTGAATTTTTCTTCTGCAAGCAACTCTGAGTGCATTCAGCGTACGTACCAAAATTGTTCGTTAATTATGACCTTAAATAATAATTTTTCAACAAAAAAAAAATTAAATAAATCTCAATGTGAATATAGTTATAGTTATTTCGTAGTCGTAGAAAAAGTATAGTGTGTAACGCCTGTGAAAAGCACTTTTCACACTCGTGGGGTTTGTGCCACCCGCCTGCGGCTCGTGCCACCAAACTTCCCCACGCGTGTGAAAAGTGCTATTTTCAACACTTGTTGCACAATGTACTATTACCGCATAGTGTGCGGTAAAGCGCTACTTTCCATTTGCAAATAAGTACGGTAAAGTGTACTTTACCGCACGCTCATAGGTGAAGAATTTTTGAAGTTTCAGACAAATGGGGAAAGAAGTGCACATTTATCACACCTCATAACTTTTCCCAGAAAAGTGTGCAAAATTTGGAAATAGGTGTGCAAAATTGTCCAAAATTAGATGAAACAAGTAGCATAGGGGTCTATCAATTTTTTTAAAAACTGGTGGGGTTATGCAAATTTTTGATACGATATAACTTTCCCCAGAAGGGTGTGCAAATCTTAAAAATCGGTGTGCAAAATTATGGGTTATTTATTTTTGAAATTTGTCTATTTGTTGAAAAAAGCAAATTTTCAAAGACGGGGGTAGTCCTGACAACCTGCCCACCTCTCGACCTGTCCTATTTTGACAGATGTCAAAAATTACATTGGACAGCTGTTGAGTATTTCAAATTCTCATCCGAACTTAAACTGTATGCAAAATTTCTTCAAAATCTATTGCGAAGAAACGGTTCACAAAGCTGCATCTGTCACATTTGACAGTTGACACCTATCATTAGTGGTCTAAAATGTATTATCACCCGAACATAAAGTGTATGCAAAATTTCAGCAAAATCTGTTGCGAAATGATGGTTCAAAAATCTGCACCTGTCACATTTGACAGTTGACACCTGTCATTAGTGGTCTAAAATGTATTATCACCTGAACTTGAAGTGTACCTATGCTAAGTTTCAGCAAAATCCGTGGTGAAGTGAAGAAATGGTTCAAAATCTGCAACTGTCACAATTTGACAGTTGACACCTGTCATTAGCGGTCTAAAACCTTCTTCTCATTATTGCCTTTCAAATTAAACATTGAACTGGTTTGAGGCACATTGGTCGGATAGTTTCAAAGTCTATAACGGACATAGGTAGACACACAGACAGACAGACAGAAACAATTTTTATGTTTTATACCTCTATTTATTAGTAACAGAAAATTACTACCCACAAAAATACATAACTATTTATTATTTTGTTTTTAATTATAATAATATTCCTATTATATAGTAGGTATATGTATAATAAGTACCTATTTAAAACACAGGCATTTAATTTGTTATACAAAAGGCAACTTGGCTACGCAGCCTAGCAAATACGCGTGCATTTGGTGCCCCAAATTAATTTAATCGCAAAAACGACTGATTTTACTAGGATACCAGCGCCATCACGCGGGTATATATTTTCGCCGCCGGACGGGTCTTCTAGAGACGTTAGTCTAATATATTATTTGCCTTGTTGCCTTACTTTATGTTGTGGTGTTATTTTTGCTTTTACAGTACAAACGTTATTAATACGTCTAAGCTGTACGTGGCCTACAACATTGTCTCTATATTTTTTTTCAGTCGCTCTAAAAAACATATTAATCTTGAGTAGGTAAATCTAAATATGTGAAAATTTCGTAACATAATATAATGGTTCGGCTCAATAAGTGGTTTCAATTTTGAGAATACTTTAACTTACTTGCTCGTTTTAACGTATCTTACTTCTGGATCTTGAAAGTCAGGGTTTGTTTTGAAAAGGTCAGCTATCATCGTTATATCAACGCAGAGTAAATTTTGATTGGTAGCCATTTCAAATCCTTCTTCCATTCTTGATGCGTTTTTAGTTTTTCTTTACTGTATCTGCAGCAGAATCACAAAAGACACACGTGGAGGATTTAAAGGTAAAAGGTAAACATCATAGATGTAAATATGGAGGTCGCTCGACAAATGTCAAATCCTGCTGTATGACGTTTGGTTTAAGTCGATTCTACATTTTCTGCACTTTGCACTGTTGCCATATTGTTTTTAGCGTTCCGTCGAAAGAAAATATGTAAAAATACTATAAAATTCTCTCGCCTCTCTTATCATGCCGGAATGCCTTGACGCTATTGGACATAACAGCTATGACGTGATTTCCGGGCGGAAAATTATAGCGTTTAAATTAATTACAAATTTGTTTATTTTTTTCTAGGTATATTTCGGTTTTCTTAAATCAAAGAATCATTTTGTTTTGTTATGAAGATCAATAAAAAAAATATATCAAAAAATTGTCCACTACCCTATTGTAACAGGTAACGTCCGTCTAATCCTTTTTGACTGTCATGATTTTGGCTTGAACTGCCACCTTTCGGTCCCTTCTTGAAATGCGGTTTCATCACAAAAGCTCCACAAGTTATTTCGCCACTGCTACCATCTGCGATCAACTTCGTCTTTATTGTGTCTGCAGTTATGGCAACACCGTTATGCTCTATAGCCATGATCATGGGGACGAAATTTTCAGGTAATGCTGCCAGAAGAAGAGATCCAACTCATTCATCACTAATTTCAAAACCACTTCACTTCAATTTTTGAGACACTTCAATCACTTGATTTACATAATTCTGCATTGATTCGAAATTTTCCAGAGATATCAGCAAAGTCCAATCTTTCTCGTGAAACCTTTCTCAGCATAAAGTTTTTTAAGCGTTTCCCATAAATCCATGGCTGTGCCTGCATCTCGAAAATGCACATATAGAGAAGGTTCTATTGATAGCACTAACTTGGATTTTGCCTTATTTGGGTTGTTTGAGTCCGTTTTTGTACCATCTAAGCATTTAGAATATCCGTCTAACACAAACACGTTTTCGATCGCGAGGGCCCATTCGTCGTAGTTTTTCCCGAACGGCAGCTTCGGAACGATTGCTAAATAGTTTATGGACATCTTCAAACTTTTATTTTTGCACAATTACAACGATTTCACTCGATAAAACACTATTTCTACAGAATTTTGCCACGTTTTGGGCCCATAACCATATGAGATATAAAGTGTTTAAGCTGCAAAGGTACAAAAAAAAACTCGTGGATTGACATCCCAAATTCGCTTTTGAACGCCACTATTTTTCCTCTTCAAGGTACTTCCATTGTCGTATCCATGACGACGTAAATTTTCCAAAGGCAGTGAAAGTTTTCCTAACATTGCAAGGACTTTTTTTAGTTAAACCTGCTCCAGTCGTTTCTAAAACAGGAAGAAACCCTGAAAAATGTCCTCTAGTTTCTCCACCATTTCCATCTATCAACTGAACAAATCGTATTATGTTAAATAATACTTTGCAGCAAGAATAGAAGCGATAATTTTTTGTTGCACAGCATCAGATAAAAGCTTGATTAACTCATTTTGAATGTCTTTTCTCAAGTAATAAATATGTGTCTCTTTGTTTTGAATTTTTCGTAGGTGTATGCATTACAGGATCGAATAGTGCTAAATTTTCTACAAATCTCAAAAAGTTCCCGTTCTCGGATTTCAAAATTTGTTCGGGTTTCCCACGAAAAGCTAAATTTTGATCTCCGAGCACACGAATTAACGCTTATTCTTTCAATCTCTTTCTTTCTGTTTAATTATTACAGCTTACAAGAAAAACAAAACACGGAGTTTTCAGAGGTCGAATATAGAAGCCATTGACGATTTATGTAATTTTCATTGATTTATTTGCCTTTTGTTCTTTTGTCCTATTGTCGTCTAACGGATACTGAAATTTTTCCACTTGAATAGTCCCGTTCTCAACAAGAACTCAGCGCAGGTGATCATCACTTTTTTTCCGGGTGATCAAAATTTGTAGCAATGCTTTCACTTATTGCCTGTTCCACTGCTTCATTTTGATTTACGTCAATATTGCTATTGTCACTATCAACCGTAACTTCTATTTCTGCCTGTAAAACCACGGGGATATCAGAAGCATGATTTTCGTCACTATCTGCCTGTAAAACTTAAGCGATATCACCTGTGTGACTACTATTTGATACATTTTCATCGTCATGGTTTTGCTGGACCATCAAATTCTTTGGTGCAGTTGGATTTTGAGGACGCAAATACGAATGATTCTAGTTATCTGATAGAGAGTTTTCCTCATCTGTTTTCCGTTAACAATACTGGACCCCAGACAACTTGTTTCTTTCAGTCAAATTTCTATATTTTTAAAAATCTGAAAATAAATAATACCATAATTTGCATAACGGTTTGCTGGTGTCTTGATGTATTCGAGTCGAATAGCTGACTCCCCGAATACAGCGTGCCTGATTCTGGCTATTGCCTGACATGTGCATAGGACATGTTCTGCAGTTTCGTCCTCTTCCATGCACGACACTCAGCATTTTGTGCTAAATCGATCCTCTGCATGTGATGCCGAAGTTCTGGTGTGCAGTGTACAGACCCACCAGGGCTTTGAGGCCACTCTCAAATATTTTCATGCTCCTGAAAAAGACAAGATCCCAAACCATTTCTCGAAGAATCACATTGAATAATCATCTTTCCAGATGGATCAATCGGAAAAAGAGCTGGTGAATTTGTTATTATCTTTTTTAACTCGTCAAAAGCCTCTTGTTGTTTCGGTAACCAAGACTATTCTACATTAGATTTCAAAAGTTCGCACAGAGGATGCATTACGTCAGACATGTTTTTGACATAACGCCACAAAGTTGAATGATCCAAGTATTCTCTGTAATTCTTTCTTGTATTCTGGAAGTTTTAACTTGCATAGGGATCCAATTCTGTCAGGGTCGATTATTTGCATACCCTTCTCAGAGAACATGTGTCCCATACACTTGACTTTAGATTTTCAAAATTGAAATTTTTCTTTATTGAACCTATTATTTATTTGTTTTGCTTTATGAACAACTTTTTCTACTGCTTCATCATGCTCTTGTTGCATTTTCCCAGCAACAACCACACAAATTGTGCCACATGGTAGAACAGAAAAATGTTTCAATTTCGTCCTGAAAAAAATCGTGCGAAATGGATAAACCATATGGCAAAACTGAAAATCTATCGACTCCAAGAGGGGTTGCAAAGGAACACTTCTAAGAATCTTGTTCATTTACTTTAAAGAGTGATAACCTTCTGCAAAGTCAAACACTGTAAAACTTTTTTTGTCTCCTAAATTTGAGAATATTTCTTCGAGATTTATACTTTTTTCAAAAAGAACTATCAGGCAATCCAAACCACGTGACATTCAAGATGGCGTGGCCACACATGGGCCAAATTTCATTTTTGAGTCCTGTGCTGTCTGCTATTTGTTCGGAGTTTCAGTTTTATGTGCTTAAGGTGTATTTGTGAGGGGTAATTCTGTTGAGTGCAATACGACGACATTATCATTATGCAGAGCCTATATTTGCAAGAACTTGGTGCCCAGCACTGAAGTAGTACGAAGGTTTGGAATGGCCCCTTGCCTATCCACTCAATACGTATATTTGGGCCCAAGATTAGAGTGAGAAAACGGGAGAGATCCGTGAGATTTTCTGCCCTGACTAGCGCTATCTCACTCAAGGTAGAGTGAGAGATCCGAGAAATCCAATAGATTTTCTGTCCTCATAGCGCTATTTCATTCTGGAATCATATGAGTTACGCAAAGATCGTACCAAACTTTCTTACTACTTCATTGGTGCCCAGTCAGAATTATCGACATCCTCTAACTTACTTGGTTTTCCTATTATAAAACCATATGATGATTGAAGGCATGATGCATTGCACCTGTGATAAAATGCTTACTACAAACTCTTTGATTTGCCCCTTAGAATGTGAAAGATTGTTCCGTTAGATTGCCACTAACGACGCTAGTTATGCCATTCGTCTTTTTCCTGATAGTTTACTTAAATGCGGAAAATGTACTGGACTGGTCATGCTTGGGACCTTGTAGAAAGACACTCTGTTTGCAGTAGAAGATACAGTGAGGAATTAGGAGAGATCCAGTATTACCAAGGCCTATTGGATGCCTCCGAGCTCAACACTTTGTGCTTCTGCTCGAGTATCAGATGCGGACTATTCTTCACATCCTTCAAAACATCTAGATGCGGCAGAGGCAGGCTTTAAAAATGACATTGATCCTGAGCTATGGGAGCCGGCTATAAATGACAAAAAACAACTTTTAGATGAACTATTTACCTCAGAGCCAAAAAGTGCCGTATTGATGATGTTTCAGCCTTACGCAGATAAATTAGATCAAGGGCAAACAATAAAAAAACTGCTATAAGAGGATTATTGGAAAATATATATGGTCATGAATATTCTAAGTGGTTGCTTAGGGAATTGATTGATCTTGGGAAAACTATAGACTGTAATGTTAATGTGGATGAAGTGGAAGTGGCAACAAGAAAATTATCGCAAAGTAAGAGCTGGTAAGAGTGGTAATTCCATGAGCATGCCTGAATTAAACTGCTGGACAATTGCTTTGGAGCAAGGACATTTTTTTGCCTAAATTTCATGTTCAATATTTTTGGAACCAGACCAAATATCGCCCTCAGCTTTTCATGGGCTGACGGATTGAATTTTCGTGAAAAAAATTGCTATATGGCAACCAGAGGTCGATATTTTGGTTCGAAAAATATCAAGTTAGGCAAAATTTTTTACTCGAAAGCAATGCAAAATATTTCACGAAAAATCAAAATACCGCGCAAACAACATACAATATTTACATACAATGGTTTATGAAGCACTTTGGCGTACGTGTAAAATGCCAGAAAGTGGACGGAACATGTTGATGTGTCATAACTATTTTTGGGGCATTAATGGCCATTTGCATCAAAAATTTTAGGGGTCTCCTACGCTTAGGGAAGGAATAAATTAGAGCTAGGGAAAA